GTGGTGGAAGGGAGAACCCACTTCTACAAGTTATCCCCGACACACACACACACACACACACACACACCATTGAATGTACATCTACTCCTAACACAAAATAAAAGGTTTTTTTTTTTTTTTTTTTTTTTTTTTTGAGAGGCTGGGATAGGGAGGGTTTGAGACACGGTTTCACTACAGCCTGTAACTCACTCTGTAGATCAGGCTGGCATTAAGCTCATAGAAATCTGCCTGCATCTGCCTCTGGAGTCCTGAGATTAAGGACATGCGCCTTGTAAAATTAATAAGTTTTAAGTAGAGAGAGATCGGAACCTTTAGGCAATGAGACCTTATGGGAAAAAGCAAGGTCCTGTGCCCCAGGAGGGGCTATGGTGCCCTGGGGACTTTCTTTCCCTGTTTTTGTGCCTAGCCCTGAGGCGATCAGTTTTTTTTCTTGTTCTCCCCCACTAAGGCCTCAGAACAATAGAACGAACCAACTATAGACTGAAGCCTCTGAGCTTATGAACAAAAACAAGCTTTTCTTCATTTTTAGTGGATTGTCTCAGGTATTTTGTTTTTGTTTTTTTTTGGGGGGGGGGATAAGGTTTTGCTGTATAACCCAGGAGAGTCTGGGCCTTGCTATGTAGCAGTCTGGTATTGATTTGACGATCTTCTGGCCTCGGGCTAATTATTGGGAATTTAAACTGGTCAGCTGAATTGAGAGAAGACGCTTTGGTCTACTAATGGAGGTGCCCATCACTGCAAGGGTGACTCTAGACTCAGGAGGCACAGACAAGCAAAGCAGAGTCACTTAGGAGACAGGCATGTGCCATTCACTTGCCAGGCATGTGCCATTCAGAGCAAGTTACAGAAAGAAAGTGGGGCTTACTTACCATGTAGCCACAAAAGGTGAGTGCTCCATTTGCCTGTGGTAGAAGAGGTGACATTGGCTGTCATGGAGAGGTGACAGTTGAATCTCTGAGGATGGATAGGAGTTTGCCTGGCTGACAGGCAGTCTGAAGCAGGTGTCATGGCACCGGTGCGTGGAATATTATACTGAATCGGAGACGGTTCACTTTGGAGCACAGAATTGGGGCTTTGGGGAAGAACATCTGATACCTGATGGAAAGAAGGGCCCCTCCTTTCTTCTCTGTCATTTCTTGTTTTAGAGATCAATTCATTGGTCTAAGCAGATGTACAGCATGCTATGAAAACAGTATCCCTTCTTTACACCTGAGAGAACTATGCCCAAAGAATTTAGACAGTGTGGTTGATTTTGATCTTTCTCTTTCAACACTGTGTTGGATAGTTATGACCGTATCACACATATGTTATTAGTTGAGCCTGAAAACTTATTTCTTCCATCGAGGGGCTCTTGAAAAACTCTGAGAGATCAGATTTCTCCTCTTCCTTTCCCTGTCCTTCTGCCTTTCTTCTGTCCTCCCTCTCCCTATTTCTTCTTGCTCTCTCTTCCCTCCCTATCTCTTGATCACTTCCTCTTTTTTCTTTCTTTGGCAGGTTATAATAGGCTACCCAAGATTGCCATAAACTCACTTTTGGACTCAAGTGATCTCGCTGCTTTAACCACTCAGGCAATGGAGACTAAAGACATTGCTACCATGCAGAGCTGGAGAGTGGATGTGCTGCTGATAGAAACATTCTTTTCGGGAGGCAATGACTTATTTTGTTTTAGAAAACTGTATTGAGATGTAGTTTATATCCTACACAATTAACTCATTTAAGGTGTACAATCCAGTGACTTTTAAACATACTTACACTGTTATATGTCTATTACTGAAATTGATTTTCTGATATTTAATTTTCTCAGAAGAAACCGTGTACCTGCCCTCTTAGACACCCCATTTCCAGCCCTGGGCAGCCACTAATCTTCTGTGGGACTCTACAGCGTTTTGTCTTATGAGCATTTGCATAAAGGGACTCATACACTATGTTGTCCTTTGTGCCTGGCTCCTCACTTAACACAGCACTCTAGGTTCACCCAGGACGTAGCGCCTCTCACTACTTTACACTGTTTATTTACAATAGAGTTGGGTTCTGTTCTCATATTCCCTTTTCAACGGACATTTCAGATATTTCTACTCTGTGGTGGGTGTTAAATAACAGTACCGGTTTACTGTCCTCACCTATAAATAGATGTGGTCATTTCTCCAAATCTGTTCTTAAAATATTTGTCCCCAAGGAGGTTGGTTGGAGGCAAGTCTGTTACTTCCTGTAGTATCCATCAAAATACACACGGGTTGTGGTAGGTAGGGGAGCTCCTGGTATACAGCTTGTGTTATAGATGTGTAGAATGTGGTGGGGACTCAGTTATAATATGTAGGATGGACCTTTCTGTAACGACTTCTCAATGGCGCACTCCAACCATTTGTAGTGAAGAGACCTGGTCAAGTAACTTAGGCTCTAACCAGATGGAGTTTTTTTCTCATGTCTTTTCCTGTTAGATTTACTATTTTGAGAAAGGATAGATGGGAACACGTCTTCAAAATACAAAACTGAAGAACATTAAAGAAGTCTTTACAAATATCTTCCTAACTGAAAGGAGGATAGAAAAGTTTTGAATCTAATTGTACAGGACGTTGTAATTCAGAGACTCTTAAACGGTGCAGAACGCACCGTCCCTCCTCTGCCAGACAGAGGCGTTTCCTGATTGCACTCTTGAGATATTATAAAGCATTTCTAAGGCTGCTGTTAAACTAAAGAATGGCAAATTGCGAGGTTTTCAAATAAGTTCCTGCAGACCTCAGTCTGGTCTAAAGTTTCCTGTTTTTACAATTAACTCCTCATGTTTCTTTGTTGAAGAGTGTGTGTGTGTGTGTGTGTGTGTGTGTGTGTGTGTGTGTGTGTAACCTAAAGATAGACCAGGAAGCATCTGGACCCTCTGGTTCCAGAGGGGAATCCAGACTTTAGTGCAGGATAGGTTGGATACTTCATGGGTTTTCTCTTTTAAGTGAGACAGCTCAGCCTGTCTTAGAAGAACCCAAGTACAGGTAGGGATACTTTCACATCGTCAGGCTTCTGAGGGATTGTGAAGAGAAGTCCAAATGTCTGGTGTTGGTGCTCCTGAAAGTTAGGCTTCCATCTTGGTGCCAACTCTCCCGCTACATCTCGCTCGCCGAATAAAGAACTGTGATTAAGAACGAGTCAGCAAGAACAAAAGGAAAAGATTGCTTGCAACCAGGATGACTCAAGATCTGTGTATAGGCCAGGGGAAATTCAAGGCTGTGTTCCTTACCACATGAATGCATACTAATTTGAATTAAGATGATTTTGGAAGGGTGTTTATTTCCAGATTCTCCAAAAGCAAGGTATTTCTTCCTGGAACTGAACTCAAGTAAAAGCTGCGATATTTCAAGCGTTTGGTAAAGATTTCGTGTTTGGGGGAATAATGATGAAAAGACCACTCCTCAGAGTAGCAAAGCATTTACTATGAACTGCCACTTCACTGAATCTTATTGCTTTTCTGGTTCACACATGAAGGCAACGAAGTACAGAGGACTCAGTAATGTGTCTAGCTTCACACAGCTAGCTAGCGAGTCTTTCCATCAGAGGTCCTGGGGTCCTTCAGGCTCCAAGGAATTGTGCTGATTAATCCAGTTTATGATAAAGCATTTTTACTGATATTAAAATATGAGGAGAGACAGCCCAGCAGTTAAGAGCACTGGCTGCTCATGCAGAGGACTAGGGTTTGACTCCCACCACCCACATAATGGATCAGAGCCACCTCTAACCCCTGTTTCAGGGGATCTGATGCCCTGTTCTGACCTCCACAGGGACCAAACGTGTATGTGGCCAACAGACATACATAAAAGGCTAATCATTCATACAATAAGAGTAAAATAAAGATACAAATACAAATATGAAAATAGATACAAAAGTATGCATCATTAAAAAAAATAAAATGAGTAGTTGAAGTAGATAAGTACATGTAAACACCATGCAAACATGGAATGGATTGTAAAACTCACAATACTATATTGCTTTGGAAAACAAAGTGTTTTATACTACATTTTATCCTGGGTATAACTTGGATATGAAAAGGAATAACGTTTGGACGTTAGGAAGAATAACATCTAATTTGCTAGGTTATTTTGATGCGCCCACTAGTGCATAACATAAATGATTTTTGACAAATGTTTGTCACACAGCTTGGATGACTTCCAAATATTTTCTCTTGTGGCTCTTAATTTGGGATATTTTTCGATGACCAACCAATCCAAAAACAAAGCCCGAATCACGGTAGCACCCGTCAGGAAATGCCCTGTTGAAAGGCAGCTTTGATTACTCAAAAGCCTATATTTCACTCGAACTTTCAAGACTATTCTTGTTTAGAGGACGGACTTTTCTTTTCTTTCTTTTTTTTTTTTTAGGGGTGGGGGGAACAAAATCAACCCCCTCTTCTGCCTTCCCAAGATATGCCTTTGCTTTTTGCTGCAGTTTTCCTACTCCTTTTCGCGGGCGAAAATGCGTATTTAACCGAGCAAATCAAAGTGTCCGAAAGAGGATGTCTGCATCCATCCTGTTTAAAAAGAGATGGGTTTCGTTCCCTTTCCTTCGCACATCAAAGAAGGCACTCCGGGAGGAAATAAACCATAATTAGGCATGAGCGAGCAAGCAGGCAGACCCCCTTCCTCAGCCTAGCCCATCCCCGCCCCCTGGGCCCTGGCAACCGTCCGGGACGCGGGCGCGACGCGGTCCAGCGCCGCAGCTGCAGCCCCCTCGCGCCCGCGCGCGCGCCCGGCCCCGCGCGCGCCCCAACACGCCGCCAGAACCTGGGCGGCGGCGGGCCGGCCGGGGGCGCGCGCTCGGGGGCGCGCTCATGCAGCGGTTTTCTTCTCCCACAATCCAGAGGCAGAGGCGCGGAGGGCGGGGAGTCGGCGGAAGGATATCGGCGCGGAGGGAGCGGCGCGCTCGCCCGGCCGGCGGCGGGCGCGGGTGTGCTGCGGCACTGCGGTTCTGAGGCCGTTACCCCAGCTCCTCCAGAGGCGGCGGAGGAGGCTGGAGCGCGGCGGCGGCGGCGGCGGCGGCGGAGCGCCCGGGCGTCGCTGAGGCACCGGAGGCTGGCGGGGCTCCCGCGGCCGGACGGTCAGGGACACGCAGCGGAGCCTTCGGTCCCGGGCAGGGCAAGGGGGCTGAGGCGAGCGCGAGCCCGCGGAGGGATGGTGAGCGCCCGGCGAGGGGCGAGCCGCGCCTGAGAAGGCGAGGACAGGCTGCGGGCGGACGCTCCCGGCGCCCGTGCCCGCCGGCCGGCCGCTGAAACGCCCAGAGCCGCTCGCCCAGGGCCGCCCCGTAGCCTCCGCGGCGCTCGCGATTCATCGGCGGCCGCTTTGCTGAACGGCTCCCTTCGGGAGCGGGGCCACCTTGACGGGCTTTTTGTCTCGTGCCCCGGCCGCTCTTCGCGTCCTCCTCCTCCAGATGCCTTTCTTCTGCCCCTCCTCTCCGGGTGCAGACACTGCCAGCGCCGGCTGCGGCTCCGCGCGGGATTTGGGCTCGCTTCCCCTGGGGGGTTTTGAGGAGCGAGAGTCCTTCCCCCTCTTCGATGGGATTTTCCTGCCTTGCCTAAATGGACTTTCATTGATTTCGTCTTACTTCTACGTTTAGTGACCAATTCCCTAGGCGTTTTTGTGGTACTTCCCTTTTTCCTCCCCGCCCGAATATATAATCTGTAAAATGGAGAACGAAATCTTTACTCCCCTTCTGGAGCAGTTCATGACCAGCCCCTTGGTCACTTGGGTAAGTAGGATGTCCTTTATTGTGTATTTTGCTGTGTTATTTGCGGCTGCAGAGATGGAGGTGGGCGTTAACGTCGTGATAATCCTTGTGTTCTAGGTTAAAACGTTTGGACCTCTGGCTGCAGGAAATGGGACCAACCTGGATGAATATGTGGCTTTGGTGGATGGGGTATTCTTGAACCAGGTCATGCTCCAAATGTAAGTGTTTTCTTCTTCTCTCGCTAACTTATTTTCTGTGAAAAATAACATACTTTGAACTTAGATTTCACGTCATAAACCCTTAATTTGGTTCTTTGGCCAGAAAAAAAAAAATCAGGTGTTTAATTGGATCTTGGAAGGAGTGCCCATACTGCTTATTAACCAAGTAGTTATACCTCCTGAAATTGAGAAACTGAATCGTTCACTCTGCCAGTTCTGTCTGTATTGTCATATATTGTCTGAAGTGCTGAAATTCAAACCACATTGTGTTATCTTTGGTAATTTGGTAAAATGACGGAGACAGAGAAATCTTGTCTATGAAAGAAAAAAGACTTAACTGTGAAGTTATGTGCAAAGGTGTGTTCTTATTAACCTTTTAAATCTAAGAATAAATGATTCAAAAATTGAAACTGGTGAAGTAACATTTCAGCGGTGAAAAATTCAGTTAACATTGCTGATTGGTCAAGAAGACTTCTGTAGCCAGCAATTTAAATATCTAAGTTTGATTAGATGACTTACCGTGTTATTGATGAGTTATTAAATCGCTTAGTATTTGGGGAATTATTTAAAGGTATTTTGAGGTTTATGTAAATAACTGAAGTCATGAGAGGTGGGTTAATTAAGTCTTTTGTTTGACATGTTGAGTTTCTGCTAAGAAGAAATGTGGCTTTTGAGATAGAAATTGCGTGTTGGAAGCATATTAGTACCTAGATCAGAAAAGTCAAAGTGACTCCATTTTATCGTTATGGTATTGTAGCAAGGTGCACTGTAAGTACTTCAGTGGTTATCATTGCTGGTATTACAGTTGGGTTTGGACACTTCTTTCTTACTAGAGTCTCATTACAACAGTAATCTTGCAACTTTTGATTTGAAGATATTTCTGCCTTATATATGTGAAAATTGATGCAGTATAAAAACTTGTTATTTAAATTTATATTCTATTAATTTTGCACATGTCAGTTCTGTATTTTCCTGGAAATTATTTTTCTTTCTAGATTTGTGCTGGTTAGTTTTTTGTCATTTTGACACAAGGGTCGTCAGGAAAAAGGGGACCTCAGTTGAGATCTTAAACTACTCTGTCATTTTCGCATGTAGGCAAGTCTCTGGGGCATTTTCTTGGTTGCTTGAGGTGGGATGGCCCACCCCACTGCTGGCAGTGCCATCCCTGGGCAGGTGGTCAGTTGTATGAGAAAGGTTTAACATTTTTGTTTTATTTTTTTTAACTTAGTACTTGGGTGAAGAGTTAAAAACATAATAGCTGCTTTCACTTTGAGTTCACACTCATTTAAAATACATGTATTTTGAAAATAGTGATGTTCCAAAAGAATAGTTGCCAGGTTCTCCCTAGCGCCTTGGGAGGGGACTAGCTGCTTTCTAAACCTCAGGTCTACTTCTGTGTTTTCAGTTCCACCTCTCAGTTTCTCTAAGTGTTTTTAGTGTCCTAATTCTGTTCTGAATGACCTATATAAGGGAAATAAAAGGAAAAGAACTATTCTTTGCTTTCTTAAAAGAATAGTTTATTAAAATTGGGTCAACACGGTATATTTAAGCGGTAGAGCAACAAAATACCTTATTACTATTTTGTTTATTTATTTTTAGGTATAGTCTTATTTTTACCTGGCTATATAGATCAGGCTGGTCTGGAACTCTTGGAGAGCCACCTGCCTCTGCCTTACAGGTTCTGGGATTAAACACTTGTCTCACCACAATACATTATTTTTATGAAGTATATTTTGCCAATGGTTAGAAAATGTGCTGCATAGTTTATTCAGTAAACTCTGTGTCATGAAAGGATAGTTAACCTAAAGATGAACCTTAATTAAAAACATTTCTAGATTACATTTGGTTATAGAATTTGTGAGCAAGAATCCTTTGTAAATGAAATGGTGTATTTTTCTTTGTGTTCCTTATACTTGAAGTTTATTGAGCTTGGGTCTGTGGGTTTCATATTATCAAATTTGGGGAAAAAAATGAAGGCATTGTTTCTTTAAATATACTGCGTGTGTGTGTGTGTGTGTGTGTGTGTGTGTGTGTATGTGTACCTGAACTTACTTGTCTTTCCTCCTTTTGGAAGCCCAGTTACATGTATATTAAGTTCCTAGATGTGTTTTAAAGCTTATTGAGAGGTTCATGGATGTGTTTTTGTTGTTTTTTCTTTGATTTTGACTAGTCTGTTGTGGTATCTGTGAATATTTTCTATTATGTTTACTCCTACCCTGCGTGTGTTTCATTTTAGACATAGTTTGGCTCTGTAGAAATCTTGCCATTATACCTTCCATGTTCAGGTTTTTCAGTTTTATCTCTTTAGATTCTTAAACATGGGATATAGTTCTAATTGTCTTGTTGCCCATATATACTAATTGTGTCATTTCATTTAGTTGGTTTTGATTGAGTTTTCTCCTCAGTATGAATTATGTTTCTTTGCTTTTGTATCCTGGTGATTTTTATTTGATGATCTTGTTGGATATTGGTTATTTTATTATTCCACAAAATATCGATATTTTGAGCTTTATTCTGGGATGTATTTACGTTACTCAGAAACAGTTTTATCTTTGCAGAATTTGCATTTAATTAATTAATTGATTATTTTGGGACAAGGCCTCTTTATGTAGCCCTGACTTTCCTAGAACTTACTGAATAGACCAGGCTGGTCTTACAGAGATCTGCCTGCCTCTCCCTCCCAAGTACTAGAATCAAAGGTGAACACATCCATAGTGGCAGTAAGTTTGTTAAGCAGTACCTTTTTGTACTACTGAGTCAAAACTCTTCCAAGTACAGTAATTGGTGGTAACAGTAACTGTGTTGTTACCTGAAATAATTTTTTGGTTCTTTCAGTGACTTTGCATAGTTTCTTCACACTTAGAGGTACTGACATCTCAGAAGTCTGTAGGGATATCCTCTGCAATCTTTTTCTTGTTTAGCTCTCTTCTCTGTGATATTCTTAATGAGTATTTAGCTGCATTTTCTCCAGACTTCATTCCCTCTACTCTGCTAATGTACTACCTAGGTTCCCTCCTCCCTGTTCACGGACTGGAGATCTTCTAGGTAGTAAGATGCGACTGTTGTTGGGTTTAGGCTTGGTACCCATCTATCAAGGATCATGGTTTTTGTTGTCCAGTATCTTGAAAAATACTTTCTATGTTTTGTGTTCCCCCTGGTGCCCAATTGTCTCAGGCAGGTGGGCCCATTTGGTTCTTGTTGTCAGGAAGTAGAAATCAGTTTATATACTTTAATGACATTTTCGCTCTTACTGCTTTCATATGGAATATAGATATTTTTGTTTATTTGTTTGGGTTTTGATTGTTTTGTTTTGTTTTGATTTCTGAAACAGTGTTTCTCTGTAGCTTTGGAGCCTGTCCTGGAATTCGCTTTGTAAAACAGACTTACCTCGAACTCACAAAGATCTGCTTGTCTCTGCTTCCCGAGTGCTGGGATCAAAGGCGTGCACCTGGCTCGGAATATAGATTTTTATTAGAGGAGACTTACTTTGGAAATGTTTTCATTCAAAGTATTTGCTAAGAATAAGAATGTTTATTATGTCAGTGATGCTGGTGTTACCAGTGTGGACCCAGACTCTGAAAATGAGAAGGTGACTGCTTTGTGACATTTTCTATTAATTACTTTGTCGTAGAATTTTGTCCTTTGTTCAGTGATGTGGAATTCATTGTATTTAGAGCTAAATCTTGGATTTCATTGAGTAGCTCCTAGAATCAAAGAATGTCAGAGCCTGTGACACAGCATTAGCCATCTTTAACAGGAGGGAAAAGCTCTGCAGAACTCTGGAATGATAAGCTAGCTACTGTCTATGCTTCAGGGCATTTTCCTACTTTAACTGACTGAAATAGGTTTTTTTTTTCATGACGCTTACAAGACATAAGACTTGATATTAATAAAGTAGAAACCCTCTTCTTGTGTTGTATCTCCCATGAGGGAAAGTGGTCTGAATGACAGGCTGTGGTTTTGTACATACTGTCGCCAGCAGTGCTTGCAGTTTGGTTTTCAGTAACTTTCAGGGTAATGTCCATCATGTTGAGAGTTTGTTCATTGCCTTGCTCTAGACTGATGTCTTCAAGAGCAGTATGTAGTGATCGATGGTTCTCTGTGTAACTAATCCTAAACTTGAAGAGATTATGAGAACTAGAGAAGAATAGGGCGATTACTTACATATGGACATATATTTAAGTGTTTCACCGAGAATTATCTTTGTAATGTTAAGTATGAGAAATATCCTTACAGGATAAATGGAACATAAGAGTTTCTTAACTGTTTTTTCAGAAAAGATACTTGTTGACTTTCCTTTAGGTTCTATGAAACAGTTTGATATTAACTGAGTACACATTGGTCAATAAATGGTCATTGTAATGCCATGGTTACTATTACTACTCTCAGACCTCCTCTATACACAACTGAGAGTGTGAAAACCAAAAGCATTCGTCAGTACAGTCACACACACACAAATCAAAGACTCATGAGTACTTAGGAGATGAAAGATCTCCTACATTGTTTTGACCGCATCATATATCACACTAGCTTGGTTTAGTTGATTTGGTAAAAATTGCTTCCCATGGCTTGCTCAGCACACCTTCTTAGAAAACCCAGGACCATCAATCAGCCAAAGGATGACACCACCCACCATGGGCTGGGCCTTCCCCCATTGGTCACTAAATGAGGAGCTGCCTTACAGCAGGATCTCGAGGAGGCATTTCCTCAGTTGAGGCTCCTTCCTCCGATGACTCTAGCTTGTGTCATATTGACACTCAAAACCACCCAGTACAGTTTCATTATATCATTTATGAATGATAAGTCAAAATAATTGTACTTTGTTAAAATATTCTTCCCTGCTATACTCCGTCATCCTCTCACCTCCCCTCTTTTTTTTTCTTTCTGCAGTTAGTTTTCCAGTAATTGAATTCTTTAGTAGTAGTGTGTGAGCATTGAGGAAGAAAAGCAGATGGCATCAGAGGGCGACTGGTAGACTAGAGCAGAGCTCAGACTTTTCC